GCTTTTGTACTTTCATCTATTAAAAGGCAGTCGATAATTTATCTTCGAGACAATGTAATACTAAATGTCATTTTGTATTTCGAAGAAATTATAAGATTTTTAAACTGCTACTGTGTTACATTACATTACATGTCATTCATTCAATTTACATCACACATTTTTATATATGTGTGTCCGTTAGCACGATAACTCGAGCAAAAATGATCCAATTTTGATGAAATTTGGTATAAAACTTTAAACCTACATTTAATTGAACGAGTTCGCAAAATAGTATGATTGGAATATGGGAACATGGGTTTATGGGGTAAAAAAGGGTTTTCTTATTGTTTACCCTAAAAACACAAAATTTCACAATTTCTTTCCACACAATTTTGTAGAGCTTAAAAAACTAATTATTCAGTATACTGAAGCGTTATTGTGCGCCTAATGGTTATGGAGGAAATTCAAAAAAATAATAAATTAAAAATTCCCATGTTATTCTTTTGAATAATAAAGTCTGCTGTTGTAGTTTGCTTGTTTATGAACATATTTTGATAGAATTAGGAAAATACATTAATTTAATACTAAACTATTAACATTTTACAACAAAAAACACTTTTTGACCCTACCTGATGCAGCAAACCTAAGTACTCGTTAAACTAATTCTATTTAAATAGGGAATAAATGTGATCATTTTAAGGAGGCATTTTAGTGTAAATCCAATCAGGCAAATGGAAATTCGCTTAGTCTGCAGGTTTGCTGCGGCGGGGTATATATTTTTCATAATCTGTAGTCTAAATGTAATTAAATGTTGAATATCAAAGAATATAACGCCAATCTGGGGATCATATTGAATCGGAGCTCGGCTGTCTCCAAGTAATCATCAGATATATGACTAGTAATCCATCATTGCCAATATTGACATTGCTCTGCGTTTCCATAATTGGATGAAGCCCAATAATTTGGTTGAATTTAATATTCTGTCCCAGACAATACTATTTCGGGAGGATATGTGATTTCTTTGGGTTAAATTTACAACAATTTACATCGAAGTAAAAAATTAGTAAATAAGTCTTGCGTGAACTATTTATTACTTTAATGAAAATCGAAAATTTAAACAAACTGTTCTTCCAACAAAAAAATCTGCTGGGACTATCAATAGCTCTTAATTTTTTAACTCGTTAATTTGTTATAATATCTACTGTCTTCATTTTCAGTTTTTATTTATTTTGTATTATGGTTATTACCTTTTTTATAGACTTTCTGGTATAAATGCATAGCACGCTTTGAAAATTATATTATCAAACAAATTAAAAATGTATTACATAAATTCAAAATTGATAATTAACAAATACATAATAATAAATACAAAAAAAATAATGTTATAATTTTTAAAATGTTAATTAACACGTTTACGATTTTTTAAATGCATGTTTAAATACATGCGGGTATTCCGTAAAGCAAAAATATTTGAAAAATTAATCATGGCATATAGATTGAAAAAAGTTAAAATATTTTTTTTTCAGTTGGTTAGCTCATACAACTAAATAACGATTCAAAAATTAATCATTTAATTAATTAAAGAAGACTATTAATCAATAAGGTCTTAATTAATTAATTAAGACGAATGGTGTTCACCACTTAATTCACAACCAACAAAGCCCAAAATTAGCAACGAAAAATACTCAAAGTGCGTTTTCATGTTGTATTTCGCTCAGAATTTAAAACACAAATAACGCCGACTGCGCTAACCGAAATAAAACACAATGTTTAATGTCTTCGCGTAATGTAGAACGAGTGTAGAAGTGGGTTAGTTGAAATGAATGGGACGGCGAGACGAGAAATACGACGGCTTGCTTGACCTTGCAACCGTCTGACGAAGAGCGCTTGATGTAAGGGAGGTGATGTAGGCTATGCGTTTTTGACGCGAAGTGACTATTCGGACGTCAAAATTACGTCACAACCCATTCCCGGTCCAATACCAGTTCCAGTATTGCAAAATAATGTTAAGTGAAAAATTATTTTTTTCTAGTAGAAATTTTGAATTAGTCACTCACATTAAATTTCGGTGAAGATGGAGTTCAATTTAATTTTTTGCTATTTTGAGGCGTTAAACTAATTTATTTAACAAACAGGTGAGAATATTCAGTTAAGGATTTAACGTTCTACAACAGTAACAGTCGATGGAGCCCGAAAGCCAATTCTGTTAACAAAAGGAATTTTTGAAATGTTACCGAAATTTTGGTTAGGTTACGTTAGTTAAGAACAGTTTCATTTCAGAATTCTCCTATCTAACGGAATTTTTAAATGTTACAGTAAGTTTGGTTAGGTTAGTTGAGAACAGTTTCATTTCATAATTAATATAGGTAAGGGCAGAAAAATCTATGTTGATTCCGTCCATTTCGGCTAATGAGGTCTATTAGAGGTACCATCGTTCCCAATACTAGGTTTTCTTTGTGTCCAACTCGTTCTCGATTAGTTATAAAAGTAACTGGATTAGGAGCGTATGTGACGTCATCTGGAACTGACGTGCGCAGTAGCGGCGCACGTCTGACGTGGGAATAGCCACTGCCTTTTTAACGTTATTCGACTACTAGCGTGTAGATGGAAAGTTGTCATAATAATTATCAATTGAGACGGGGACGCTACCGAGTTGCGCATTATTACTATGAATTATTATTATTAATCTAAGTTAACTAAGTTACGCATTATTATTAAGGATGAGTGTAGAATGAAGAGATACCTTGTGTAGCGTTCTTACTGTAAGACAGCTGTTTCATTAGTCACGACCATTTATTAAAAGCCCAATGGTAATATTTTATGTTATTTATGTTAGTATAGCTAGAAACCGAAAACATTTTTTCAGTAACCAGTTTAAAAAACGGAATTTACTCACTTGGTACTATAAGGGACAATTTGTACCCGAGGAAATTAAGTTTTCTGGGAGAATTGTTAATCCGTTTGAATATGCTTCTGTAGTAAAACTTCTTTATGTAATTCAAACTAGCTGTTACCCACGGGCTTCACCCCGTTTAACCTCATAAGTATTGATAAAACTATTGATTGGTTAAGTTAAGCTGAAATAAACAAAACAGAATACGGTAATCACACCTGATTTTAAAAAGGTAATAGATTGAAAAAAAAAACATACAAATAAGTACAGCTGAGGTATTTTTAACACTAGGTATATGGAAAGTTCCCTTTAGAATGGAATTAAGACCTTACAGGGTAATTGATGAAATAATGGATAGTTTTGCACAAGGTTTCTCGTCATGACGAACATTTTTAGTACAATGGTTTATGGGGTTGTGACTTGTAGTTTTCCCAAAAGTTCATGGGATTTATTTATGGATAATCACATTGCAGTTTAAATACACATAACGCTATATGTGCGTGAAGAGGTTTCAGTATTTGTCTAGGACGGGAATGCAGTAAACAAGTTTAAATGACGTTTGGGTATTTGTAGACGGGACGGTATGCTTGTAATGCTAGAAACCCAAGACTATATTGGTCTAGTGATAAATGGAAGTTGTTGCAGACCTTAAGTATGTCCCTCAGTTGGTAATTGGGGATAATTTAAGATGAAAAAATAACTTTGGAATTTAATCATCGTCCCTGATAGAGAACAATATTTAAAACTAAAAAAACATGAAAATTTGAATAAAATATTTTCAGTGATGTAAAAAAAACATGCGGAATATACACGTTAAAAGTAGGTTTTGATCTGTGCATACTCCCGTATGCTAACCCAAGACTTTATTCGTCTATTAACAAATGAACATACAATAAATCTCTCTAGCATTTTACTCTGTCCACAGACTTGTTTAGGTAGGAGGACTGTTTAAGAGGTTAGGACTTTTAGCGTGTAAAATAATTTCAATCTTGTAAAGTACACAATATTTTATAATATCATACAGTTCTAATATAATCTAAAAATAAACTTCGCCTTTATGATTGATTCAAGTATTTTTTGTCATCTTCTCTACAAAGCAAAACAAATTTCCACATTTTAATGTGACGAACGAATGTAATAAGGTCATAAAGTCGAGGGGAGTTCTCGAGCGGGCCACATTTTTTAAGAACTTAGAGAAGCGTAAAAGTTACAAGAATAATAACTAACAGTTGAACACCGCTTAGGCCGCCTCCCTGTATCTTACCAGGCTTTGGCTAAACTGTGACGTCATTACTTATCTTTTGTTAACGAACATTTTCAACACATTAATCTGTTTAAAATTACATTATGTTAAATAATACAAATTTACATTAAAAAGCTTGAAAACTGTATTCTTCAACAAATCTTTAAATTAAACGAGTATGCATTTATTATCTCACATATATTTATGTTATGAGTTTATAATTTATTTTAAAAACAATTTTAAATGTTGGGGGAAGTTGGTTTCGGTTTGAAATATATTGTTTTGTGAAAGTAAGTAAATTTTACATAGTATGACAACATAATTTAAGTTGATTGAGCAGTTACATGGTGATAAATACTCATTACTACTTTATATACTTGTAATAACTTAACTTGTAAATTAAAGCGTAAAATTCCCTTACTTTATTACCATAAACTCCTCTTATTGTGATTTGTTTACATGGTAGACAAGATTGGTACTTAATTATTTTACATGAATACATTTTTAATTTCAGAAAGTTAATATTGAATAGTTAATATTTATGTTATGGTTTAGCATATTTATGACGCGGTACTAGCTTTGCCATAAATGTTTAAAATCTACTTCATTCATTTAAAACTTAATATTTTAGGAAACTCTTTTGTTTAGGATAATAAATATGTATGCTTCCAATAAGAGGTGTCAAAACCAATTTTACTTAACACAATGGGATTTTAACTACATCCTGTCATCAAATGTTAAAAAAATTATGCATTGCATTAGATTATAATAAATATGCATCGAACAATGTACTGAACTTGCTATGTATTTGGATCGATCTAATTTGATGGGTTTAATCTTAGGATTATAGTGGATTATGTTTTAAAACAATGATTTCTTTTCCAGATACATGATGCCAGGCTAACTATTCCCCGATATAGTAAGTGTTTCATTTTAATTTTTAAGTGAAAAAATATGAAACATCTATGTTTTATGTTTAAATAACTTATATCCTACATTGCAAATTCGTTAACAACTGAATTGGATTATTTCAAAAGGTTAAATGAGTGAAATAACGAAAGCACGGTTTGAATGAAACTCCTAAAGAGCACAAAAAACAAATTTTACAAAAGTTAAAATGATGATATATTTTAATATTACCTTGTAAAAAGATGTCCTAATAATGGTTGGTGTCCTAAATATCATCAACATCCTTAACACTAATAATTTAAACATCATTTAATAATCTAAAAAACTTAAGGAACTGAACGTGAAGTAAATGACACCTAAAATACTTGCTATTGTTATTACTCCCAGTGTGTTAGATTATTTTGGTTTTCTTTCTTCAAACTCCAAACACGCAGGAGTATTAGAAGGCTGGAACATATTATTCCGAGAAACAACGTGTCCTAAGGATATTTCCGAGAAACATTTTGGCAGAAACGTGATTTTGTGTCGACCGATATATTTACAACCTTACTGTTTGTCCTTTCTGTGCAAATCTCACTACTCGAGCTGCTGGAAAACATGTGATGAACATTGTATGGTTATTTATTTTCTTTTACTATTACACTGACAGTATCAGATGGTCTTTTAGGGGATCGGTTTCTCTAAATTTTAAGATAAAAACAATCCTGACAAAGGTAATAGCAAAATGTATCGCAGATTGAAGGAGGATTTCACTGTTATATGACACGAAAACATGTGTTGTAGCATTCATGTGTCTGAAAGGTTATTTTCTCAATCAGCAAATGAAAATTTCCCTCTATAAATTTCCATAAGTGTTGAATATTTAACTATTGCACGGCAAATTTGATTCACCGAAATTATGTTAACGTTTGTCATCAAGTTTTGAATATTGTACGTATTTGTTTAAACAACCACAATGATAACTAGTACCTACTAAATTCTGAAAAATTTCACTAACAGCAACTTCTTTGTGATCAATACTTAAGGGGAGCGAGCTGGTAGAACGTGGGACTTTGGTTCCTGAGGTCACAGGTTCAAATCCCGACAATTAACAATGGATTTTATCTAAGTGATAATGCTGAAACCCATAAGTCTAGCCTGAAGTAATGTGAAAAACAATCACGGGATCGTCTGCAAAAACAGCTACAAAAAACAGCTGTTCTCCATCGAGCAGAACGCCAATTATGGATAGTAGACAGCAAGTGAACAAACTTAAAAGTTAGCGGAAAAAGCAGTAACACCATTTACCGGCCTGAGGCCATAACTCACGCAGAAGACAGGGGTTCGCAAGAACTGATGATTTATACCCAGAGATACATGTACTGCTACTTTCGTTCATTTGGCTAATTCGACCCTGAGGAATTATTAAACTGGAGTTTTTAGTTACTGTAATGTTTGTCAAAACTAATGTTGCTACTGTAGTTCAAACTATTGCGTTTGAAAAACTGCTAGTTATACTATGTTTTAGTTATACTAAAATTAAAATTTTAAAATTTCTCACGGTTTCCGACGCTGTTTTCGAAAGCTATACACATACATTAAGATAGGTATAGTAGATGACCACTCACTATGTATATCAGCTATTAACCCACTAGTTAACTAAATCCGCTATAAATATGCAAAGATTTCAATGTAGGCCTCTACCCGAGTTATTGATAGATTATAGTGCTCGCCCAGTAACCGAAAGGTCACAGATTGAAACTTAAGAATTAAAATTAATTTTGGATGATTCAGTACTGGATTCAAGTCCCAGGGGCTCGCTCATGTAGCTAAGCTTTCCACAACTGGTTTAAAACAACACACACACACAAACATATCCCTCTCCCTTTAACACATCCTTCACTCATGTTTGGATTTAAAACATTCAGTGGCCCTAACTGAATAGCCAATTGGTAATAATTAAATTTGGTATTCGTAGGTAAAATGTCAAATAATATTGGTCCACGTTCGAAAAAATCACAATTATTAAAATATTAATCGAAGTAGCATTTTAAAATTTTAGATAATTGTTTAAGTAGAACTTTATGGAAGACAGCCACGAAATATCACTTGTTAAATTTTCGTTCAGTGTGTAAACTTCCAACCCTATTTTTACTTCCCACAGCTGTAGGCCTCAGTTGTATTTTCCAAATCTTTAAGGCCAACTTGTAATGAAATTTTGGTGTTCTAACAACATCACACCAAAATTATTTCTACACTTTGTTAACAACAGTTTTAATAATGGTCTGGACGATTTAAACACAAACAAAATAAAACCTGCAAGTAAAGCGATCATCCAATTTCAAACAGACGTTGTTGATCAAATATCAACTGCCGCTGCAGGTAAGCTGTTAGTGACAAATGTCATTGAACATGTGTGGGCAACATTTTACACGAGACATACGTCAAATCCAAAAGAATTTCTTTTGATTAGCGAAATATCAAATGCACAAGGGACTAATGTGACGAGACAAAACTACTAACAGTTATTATTTATATATTATACTGAGTGCTATTTAGAAACTACAATGGATACTGGCTATCACCGGTAAAAAATAGTGCTGTCACATATTTTTTACCCTTTTCTAGCAAACGCATTAGTATTTGTTTTTCTATTAAAAAGTTAAAGCAAATAACGTAAAATTTAAGTGTGTTTGAATCATAATTGGTAGATTTTACGAAATTAACGACGATAAAGTATGTAAAGATGAATATTCTTGGTCTGAGCTTAAAACACTATATATATTTACAAAACATCTATGAGTAAATGAGGCAGTTCTTAAATTTTAAATATAAAGTACTATACAGAATGTCCCGGAACTCTCTACCAATACTTTAGGACATTGTTACTGGGTAAGAAATATATATAAAAATATCATATTTAAATTGTCCGGAAGTCCTTCGTTACTCGAACAGCTGCCTTTTGTTTTATTATTATTATTATTTTCTTAAAAAATGGTTAAACATATGAACTTGAAACTATGCTGAAACATTTAGGAAAACTAGACAAAGCTACCAAAAAAATATGACAATTCTCCAAATTCATAAAACAAAATGGCGGTCATAAAATACAATGTTTGTAAAATTAAAGTAATTTAAGAAACAAAATTAAAAATTGCCGTCATTATGTTTTATGAATTTGGAAAATTGTTATAATATCTTTGCAGCTCTGTCTAGTTGTCATAAATGTTTCTGCAAAGTTTCAATTTCGTACATTTCACCATCTTTTAGAAAAAAAAATTAACGAGTAAAAATAACAAAAAAGCGGATTTGTGAGTAACTAAGGACTTCCGGAAAATTTAAATATGATATTTAGATATGTTTCTCAGCCAGGAACAATGTCCTAAAATATTAGTTGAGAGTTTCAGAACACCCTGTATACTTATGAAAAAAAACATCAGTAAGAACATACCAAATTACTAACCGATCAAATATTTGAAACGTCTACTTTAAAGTGCTGGGCAAAAAACATTCTTTAATACTGATTACTATTTTACTACATTGTGAACCCCGTTTTACAGAATACATTTTCACGATTCTAGACTAAATAAGTAAAGTTTATAAGATTTTATGTTTAACGAAAAATAAATAATGTATTGAAACAAAACACGTTTAACACCACTCATCAATTATTGACCTGATTACATAGACAAATCATTAATCTAATTTATCGAGAACAACTCAATAGACTTGAGAAAATCAGAGACCCTTGGAGTATGAATGCTTGATTGTTAGTTAAACAGTCCCTAGTAGATATAGATGTTGGCCCAGACCTCCTAGCTCGGAACTGTTCAATATGCATCGAGATTGAAGTACAAGTGTTCTGTCGAGACTAGAGATTTGTTCTTTTATTAATGAGGATAAATAGTTCATTGTTCTAAAACATTAAGCCACTGTGGATTTTTTAGATAATTCGAAAAGGACAGTTTGACTACTTTTGGCCTTTTACTTGAATAATAAATTATCCTCAATACGGAGAGTCAATTGTTTTTCCCGTTTAGTAGTCAACATGTTAGTATTGAGATGTACAACCTTGGTATGGTATCTTTATTCTCAAAATTGAAATAACTGTTAATGTATTTTATTAAACAATAAAACTCTTAATTGATAATACCTTTTTACAATAACCAGTATGAAATGGAGGACAAACGATGTTCTTCTTACTTTCTCATTAACGTTCATGATAAACTATTAATATGTTGATAGCTATCGAAATTATAACCACATGTCAAACCTTTTCCATAAAAACTTTTAAAAACACAACTTAGGGGATATAAAAAGCACGACTAACTTTTACAACTGTTCACAATAGGAAGTGGAAGGCAGCCCCAACATCTGCTCCACTTTTTACTACTTCCTTATCGTCGCGGTTGGGTGAGATCACACGAGATCTCCTAAAAAGTAGTACTCAATCTTTCTAATTCCAGACTTATCTTTGCAAAAACATTTATTTTTTATTACTGTATGAAATATTTAGTATTTACAAGCACACTTAAAAGTCAAAAAGATTGTTTTAACTTTGAATAGCATAACGTGAAATTTTAAGTAGACTTTCGTTCCGTATTCCAAAATACACATTGTTGACAAAAAACGTAAAACATAAATTCAGAATGAAGCACTAAGACTTAAAAAGAAATGTCGCTGATACTGAAGAACTGAACAAGATACACTGGAGAAAGAAATTTTTTAAGCGCGTTTCCCCCAAAAAATAATACAAGTAAACAGCCTTGTAATATTTGCAGTAAAAAATACGTAGAGACTTTCACGCAATGCAAGTATATAGTAACTGATTCCTACTTACATAACCAAAAGAGAATGTCCAAACATGCGTTTCTTACCTGAAACAGAAAAATATGTTAGCAATTACATTTTAGTTAAAGAAATATAAAGTTTCACCCTTGAAATACGGTAATTTTCATGTTAAAGAAAATTGATTTCTGTTTCACTATGATAAGATAGAGATGGCACATAGACGTATTTTGACCATAAGAT